TTCAGTGCTAGATTGTTGTATATTTTTCTTGAACTAAAAGTAGAACTAACACTAGACCTAGAATTAGAAACATTCGGGTTTAGCCGAACGTCTCGAAAGACGGCTAAACCCGAATGTTTCTAGTTCTAGGTTTTGTGTTAGTGCTTGTAACAGTGCTAGGTGGCACTAGTTAGCATTAGATTGTTCTAGGTTGTTGTATTTATTGAACTAATAGTAGAACTAGCACTAGACCTAGAACTAGAAGCATTCAGGTTTAGCCGAAAGTCTCTCAAGACGGCTAAACCTGAATTTTTCGAGTTCTAGGTCTTGTGTTAGTTATTCTGACAGTGCTAGGTGGCACTAGATTGTGCTAGGTTGTTGTATTTATTGAACTAATAGTAAAACTAACATTAAACCTAGAACTAGAAACATTCGGATTTAGCCGAACGTCTCGAAAGACGGCTAAACCCGATTGTTTCTAGTTCTAGGTTTTGTGTTAGTGCTTGTAATGCCGGGTTTATACAGAATTTAGCTGTAAATTTAAATTTAAAAATTTAGATTTAAGGATTTTATTTAGCTTTAAGAAAAAAATTGATTTATACAGAATTTAAGATTTACAGAATTGCAACCTCAAGAAACAAAATATTACTGGTTTTTGTGTTGTCATTTTCTACCAATATCTTATCTTTATGTTCAGAACATTTTTTATCGTAAATATATCGGTAGTTCTCAACATCTTTAATTAATTTTCCATCGAATTCACTCATTTTGTTGGCACAGAAATAAACAACAGTTGAGGTTAAGTTAGAACGCGCTATTTACACCGGCCGATCATTGGATACAGCTGATTGAGGTTGTCTTGCGCATGTGTGACGCTGTAAATTTAGAAAAGTTGACCAACTTTATGTTTACAGCTAAATCTTATAGCTTTGTATAAACGATACATGGGGTTTCAATAGATTTAACTCTTACAGCTAAATTTTTAAATTTAAATTTACAGCTAAATCGTCTGTATAAACCCGGCTTAACAGTGCTAGGTGGCACTAGTTAGCATTAGATTGTTCTAGGTTGTTGTATTTATTGAACTAATAGTAGAACTAGCACTAGATCTAGAACTAGAAACATTCAGGTTTAGCCGAACGTCTCTCAAGACGGCTAAACCTGAATTTTTCGAGTTCTAGGTCTTGGGTTAGTTATTCTGACAGTGCTAGGTGGCACTAGATTGTGTTATTTATTNCTAGTGTTAGTTCCAGTGAGAATGCTGAGTGGCACTAGTTAGCACTAGATTACGTTAAGTTGTAGTATTTATTGAACTAAAACTAGAACTAACACTGGACTTAGAACTAGAAACATTCGGGTTTAGCCAAACGTCTTTCAAGACGGCTAAACCCGAATGTTTCTAGTTCTAGGTTTTGTGTTAGTGCTTGTGACAGTGCTAGGTGGCACTAGTTAGCATTAGATTGTTCTAGGTTGTTGTATGTATTGAACTAATAGTAGAACTAGCACTAGACCTAGAACTAGAAACATTTAGGTTTAGCCGAACGTCTCTCAAGACGGCTAAACCTGAATTTTTCGAGTTCTAGGTCTTGTGTTAGTTATTCTGGCAGTGCTAGGTGGCACTAGATTGTGTTAGGTTGTTGTATTTATTGAACTGATAGTAGAACTAACATTAGACCTAGAACTAGAAACATTCGCGTTTAGCCGCACGTCTCTCAAGACGGCTAAACCCGAATGTTTCTGGTTATAGGTCTTGTGTTAGTTCTTGTGACAGTGCTAGGTGGCACTAGATTGTGCTAGGTTGTTGTATTTATTGAACTAATAGTAGAATTAGCACCAGACCTAGAACTAGAAAAATTCAGGTTTAGCCCTTTCAAATTTAGGTTTAGGTGCGTCTGAAGAAGCACGGTTCAACCCGAAACTTTCTAGTTGTAGGTCTAATGTTAGTTCTAGTTTTAATTGTTACTCAGCGCTAGATTGTTGTATATTTTTGATGAACTAAAAGGTTCATAAAAAGCTCATTCGAGTTTAGTCGTACGCTTAAATAATCAAACCAAACTTTAAAAGTTCACCCAGACCTTAATTATTGAAATCAAAAAATGGTTCATACATCAAATTAAAGTTTGAAATCTCCTTTTCAATTTGGTGTAAAAACCATTTCTTCGTCAATACAAATAAAGTAGCTATAAAGTTTTTAAAATTGTACTGAAATGCGAATTAATCAAAATATATTAATCTCTCACACCAAGTTTAAAAAATCGTGGTGATCGCATTAATGGGAACTCAAAAATGAGTTATAGTCCAAATTAAACGTCATAATATCCTCTTTAATTTGATATAAGATTCGTTTTTGAGAACCCATAAATTTATTAGTTACAATGTTTTAAAGAATGTGTTTTTTTCAACTTTACGAAGACATTAAAAATTGGATCTAAACTTTAAAAATTCACCCAGATCTTAATTATTGAAACCAAAAAATGGTTCATACATCAAATTAAAGTTTGAAATCTCCTTTTCAATTTGGTGTAAAAACCATTTCTGAGTCAATAGAAATAAAGTAGCTACACAGTTTTTAAAATTGTGCTGAAATGCGAATTAATCAAAATATATTAATCTCTCACACCAACTTTAAAAAATCGTGGAGATCGCATTAATCGGAACTCAAAAATGAGTTATAGTCCAAATTAAACGTCATAAACGTCTCTTTAATTTGATATAAGATTCGTTTTTGAGAACCCATAAATTTATTAGTTACAATGTTTTAAAGAATGTATTTTTTTCAATTTTACGAAGACATTAAAAATTGGATCTAAACTTTAAAAATTCGCACAGACCTTAATTATTGAAACTAAAAAATGGTTCATACATCAAATTAAAGTTTGAAATTTCCTTTTCAATTTGGTGTAAAAACCATTTCTTCGTCAATACAAATAAAGTAGCTACAAAGTTTTTAAAATTGTACTGAAATGCGAATTAATCAAAATATATTAATCTCTCACACCAAGTTTAAAAAATCGTGGAGATCGCATTAATGGGAACTCAAAAATGAGTTATAGTCCAAATTAAACGTCATAATATCCTCTTTAATTTGATATAAGATTCGTTTTTGAGAACCCATAAATTTATTAGTTACAATGTTTTAAAGAATGTGTTTTTTTTCAATTTTACGAAGACATTAAAAATTGGATCTAAACTTTAAAAATTCGCACAGACCTTAATTATTGAAACTAAAAAATGGTTTATACATCAAATTAAAGTTTGAAATCTCTTTTTCAATTTGCTATAAAAACCATTTCTTAGTCACCCGAATCTTTCTAGTTCTAGTTTTAATTGTTATAGAACGCTAGATAGTTGTAAATTTTTCTTGAACTAAAAGTAGAACTAACACAAGACCTAGAACTAGAAACATTTGGGTTTAGCCGTCTTGAGAGACGTTCGGCTAAACCCGAATGATTCTAGATCTAGGTCTAGTGTTAGTTCCAGTGAGAATGCTGAGTGGCACTAGTTAGCACTAGATTACGTTAAGTTGTAGTATTTATTGAACTAAAACTAGAACTAACACTGGACTTAGAACTAGAAACATTCGGGTTTAGCCAAACGTCTTTCAAGACGGCTAAACCCGAATGTTTCTAGTTCTAGGTTTTGTGTTAGTGCTTGTGACAGTGCTAGGTGGCACTAGTTAGCATTAGATTGTTCTAGGTGAACTAATAGTAGAACTAGCACTAGACCTAGAACTAGAAACATTCAGGTTTAGCCGAACGTCTCTCAAGACGGCTAAACCTGAATTTTTCGAGTTCTAGGTCTTGTGTTAGTTATTCTGACAGTGCTAGGTGGCACTAGATTGTGTTAGGTTGTTGTATTTATTGAACTGATAGTAGAACTAACATTAGACCTAAAACTAGAAACATTCGGGTTTAGCCGAACGTCTCTCAAGACGGCTAAACCCGAATGTTTCTGGTTATAGGTCTTGTGTTAGTGCTTGTGACAGTGCTAGGTGGCACTAGTTAGCACTAGATTGTGCTAGGTTGTTGTATTTATTGAACTAATAGTAGAATTAGCACCAGACCTAGAACTAGAAACATTCGGGTTTAGCCGTTTTGAGAGACATTCGGCTAAACCCGTATGTTTCTAGTTTTACGTCTTGTGTTAGTGCTTGTGACAGTGCTAAATAGCACTAGTTGACACTAAATTACGTTAGGTTGTTGTATTTATTGAAATAAAACTAGAACTAACACTAGACCTAGAACTAGAAAGTTTCGGGTTTAGCCAAACGTCTCTCAAGACGGCTAAACCCGAATGTTTCTAGTTCTAGGTCTAGTGTTAGTTCTAGTTTTAATTGTTATAGAGCGCTAGATTGTTGTAAATTTTTCTTGAACTAAAAGGTGTATTTTCGGGTTTAGCCGTACGCGTAAATAATCGAACCTAAACTTTAAAAATTCGCACAGACCTTAATTATTGAAACTAAAAATTAGTTCATACATCAAATTAAAGTTTGAAATCTCCTTTTCAATTTGGTGTAAAAACCATTTCTTTGTCAATACAAATAAAGTAGCTACAAAGTTTTTAAAATTGTACTGAAATGCGAATTAATCAAAATATATTAATCTCTCACACCAACTTTAAAAAATCGTGGAGATCGCATTTATGGGAATTCAAAAATGACTTATACTGCGAATTAAACCCCACAATATCTTCTTTAATTTGATATAAGAATCATTTTTGAGAACCCATAAATTTATTAGTTACAATGTTTTAAAGAATGTGTTGATTTTCAATTTTTCGAAGACATTAAAATTGAATCTAATCTTTAAAAATTAAGAATCACCCAGATCTTAATTATTTGAATTAAAAAAGGGGTTTATACATCAAATTAAAGCTTGAATTTAACTTTTTAAGTTCTCCTTTTCCGTATTAGTCCGTTATATCGAGATTTAACTGAATTTGGATTAATTAAAAAGAAAAAGCGAAATTAATGACATTTATTTTTATTTTTTTTAAATCATTAAAAAATAATTCGAATTAAATATCGTAAAAATAATAATAATAATTAATAATCGTCGTATATTGTGTAAGCGTTACAATATAATATATTTATTTATATAAAAAGGAAACGAAATTAATTTTGCGCCCGCTACATTTGTAACTAAAACGTTTCAACGTTTCGTTTAGTGCGACGTATTCACATTGTTTTTTTAATCCATTTTCATCCCTAATAATAATACACTATGTCCAATTTTCGTTTTAACCCTAATTTTATAATACAAGAACTCTATATTGCATCTTGGGGGTGGGTGGGGTGTCTCGCCTTTTAAACGTTTTAGTAAGATCCTAATTTTTTTTTAATTTTTTTTCGATTTTAATTCATTAACATTGCGATAAAGGCACGATTTCGTCAAAAAAATCAATTTGATATGCCTCGTTTCCTTTCTCTTATTCTTTCATTAAAGACTAGATTTTATTTTAAATATTTTTTTTAGAATCTTACTTAAACCCAACTTGGCGTGATAAACGTATTTATCACCCCAAATCAAAAGACGTCTTCTTTAACCAAAGAAAATAATGTAAACTAAAAAAATAACTTTATACACATTCAAAGTTCTATCTCCACTCATTTTCCTCCTGATAATATCACGTTAAACGATCCGGAGTGAAAGGCCTGTGCAAGATCTGTTGGGTATTCGTAGGGCTATTTTGGGCTATTCTTACAATTCCACCTCCACTACCCCCGTGGATATTCGTCTGTTGATGATTAGGTCCATTACCACCGACTTGTATTCGAAGAGGAGTCGCTAATTGTCCATGCGATGATAATCTTAAAGGTACTGGAGTTTCCGGGAACCTTAACTCCCCCAACCTTAGATTCATCGGTGGGGGTGAAGAACTATTATCCACTTGAACAATAGGACTCGACATACCTTCCTTATACTCCTTTTCCATACTTCTTCTCGGGTGGAACTCCGAGGATGAATCCAAATTAATAGGCGATAATAATTCGGGGATCGTCGAGGATAATCTGTTATTAGTATTAATTGGGGTGTTATAAGAGTTATTGTTTGAATTAGTGGTTGTTAAAAGGTTTGTTGATGATGGATTTGATTCGATATTTATCGGAGACGAAGGACTAAGATTTTTTCTAAAAGCTGGTGGGGTATGGTTGAATCGAAATTGCGTTGGCATTGGTCCCGGGGAATGAGGACCAAATCTAAACGACGTTATCGGTGATGGAGAGGAATTTGAAAATGATATGGGTCCGGGTGAGCTCAAAGGGGGCGAATGGGCACCCAGGGAGATATCCGAATCGGAATCCGAGGTATTAGGGTTAGGACTAAGCGGCGGTTGTCTCGTCGATCCGCCGTGGTTCGCCAACTGAGCCGCCAGTTGCTGCTGTTGAATTCTGGAACAAAGAAGAGAAGAAAAGATGAGATTATTATTGCACGGGAATCGATCTCTCGTACGGTGTCGCGTTGCAATTTGGAAGGCGGAGGCCACCTGTAAGCGTGTCCTGGAAATTGCTTAAAGAGGCGCATGATTGGAGTAATGCGATCCGTTGTCGAGTATAGGATTACGTTCGCTTAATGCCTCGTTAGGTTCGTTCGTTCGTTCGTTCTCGGGTTCTCGGAAAATAAAAGGCCAACTCGCCTATTGGTCATAATCAATTAGTTCGCCCGCACAAAAACGTCGCGATTCTTCGTCGAAACGGATACGGGACCATATCCTCTTTGAGTCTTATTTTTATTATCATTCTTTTTTTTTCGGGGCGGACGAAGTACTACATTTTGGGGCTCATTTACCAAACCTCCATTCAACGATGCAATTATGCACGCCAAACAAAGAGACGCCTGAATACAGGGATCGATTTCACGGCTCGTTTTCATGCTGGTTTTCATACAAAGAATTATAAAAGGGTCTGTTTAACAAACAATATTAAACGACAAGTTTAAAAAACAATATTAAATAATCATTATGATAATATTAAACATTCTGGTTATTTAGAGTTTGGTTGTACGTCAAAAAATATCTGTCAATGTCAAAGTTTTATGTAGAATTTCTGTTGGTATTAGCTAGGGTCCCTATCAAATCGTTCTAATAACATTTTCGACTAGATAATTGAGGTTTTTCTTATAATTTAACAAAGTAGTATGTCATAACTTACTAACACGATTTTTGTCTTCAAGGAAATGGTTAACTAATGAATTCAAATTCGCTTTTATGCTGCCAATTGTTACCAACTTTACAACAATTTGACAGGAATTCAAAATTAAGTATAAATTTTCTTCGATATGGTGTTTGTCACAGGTAAAGCGTGCATTTCAGTTAAAGTACATATTAGATAGTCAATGTATACATTAATGTAACGTTTTAGTGAAAGTATTTATCAGTCATAGAGGGTATATGTAACCGGCAATCTGTATATATCCGGTATTCTATACAATACCTAGGCAATTTATAGAATACCTAAAACGTTTAGGTAATATATAAAATATTACTAATTTTATAAAGAATAAAGCTAAAAATAAACCTTTTTTAGTGTCGTCAAAGAAATTAAATTTACAGTTTCCTGTAAATTATAACTAAAAATTAAAAAAACATATTTCCGATATTTGAAACAAATACATTTGTTGAACTATTTAATTTATATTTGTTTTACACAAAAGTTGGAATAGATTGCATTATTTCACATTTTTTATTAATATTTAATATTATTATTAAATGACTTAATAAATTATTGATAGATGGCGCTCATATATATTTTTTTAATTCAAATAAACTTATAAAAAAATTTCTAAAGTGTCAAATTAAAAATCCTGTTTTTTAAGATGGAATGTTACATATTAGAAAATAAAGTAAATTTTATATAAATTTTTAGTAGAATAATTTTTAGTTATAGTACCATAATTTACAGGAAACTATAAATTTAATTTTTTTGACAACACCAAAAAAAAGTTTATTTTTAGCTTTATTGTAAAACAATGAGAAATACACCTATCTAACCCCATATTTTTGTAATCAGAAAAAAATAACTAATTTAATAAGCGAATAAGTGATTGTTTCCATTTAAAAAAACGAAAATTGTCATAATATCTCAAAATCTAAAACTGAAAATTTTTTTTTGACTACGTCATCAAATTCTCTGTAAAAAAGTGTCCATATAATGTCTTAGTTATAATACTCCACCTATAATAATAACCAAGATAATTGCACTTGTTGGTTTTACGATATTTTCAATTTTGGCCCCTAGGGGAAAAACAAAAGACGATACCGCTTTGAGGCTTTCGGCATTAGCAGTTTCTCGAAAAACGAGATCATGACATGTAAGCTACTTTTTTTCTAACTCTTATAGTTTCCGAGATAGCCTATTCAGACATCGAATTTGAACCACCCTGTACATTCACGAAATGAATGTTTTAACTGTAACATGTCTTCTCAGTATCACTGCCGTAACTATGATTTTGTATCGATGTAGTATCAAAGTAATGCCTCGGCCGCAAACAACCTCGGCTTAGGTGACTCATATGTTCTGGAAAAGTGGATGATTTTGTGGTGTGGAAGCGACCTCGGCTTAAGTAATTCATACTTCCTGGTAAACTGTACAGATTTGTATCAATGTGGAATCAATCTAGCGCCTCGCCCGCAAACGACCTCGGCTTAGGTGACTCATACGATCTAGAGAAGTGGATGATTTCTTATCGTTGTGGTATCAATATAATACCTCAGCCGCAAGCGACCTCGGCTTAAGTAAGTCGTACCTCCTTGTAAACTGTATAGATTTGTATCAATGTAATGCCTCGGCCGCAAGCGACCTCGGCTTAAGCGACTCATACGCTTTGGAGAAGTGGATGATTTCGTATCGTTCTGGTATCAATATAATGCCTCAGCCGCAAGCGACCTCGGCTTAAGTAAGTCGTACCTCCTTGTAAACTGTTTGATTTTGTATCTATGTGGTATCAATATAATGCCTCGGCCGCAAGCGACCTCGGCTTAGTTGACGCATACACTCTGGAGAAGTGGATGATTTTGTATCGTTGTGGTATCAATATAATGCCTCAGCCACAAGCGATCTCGGCTTAAGTAAGTCGTACCTCCTTGTAAACTGTATAGATTTGTATCAATGTAATGCCTCGGCCGCAAGCGACCTCGGCTTAAGTGACTCATACGCTTTGGAAAAGTGGATGATTTCGTATCGTTGCGGTATCAATATAATGCCTCAGCCGCAAGCGACCTCGGCTTAAGTAAGTCGTACCTCCTTGTAAACTATTTGATTTTGTAACAATGTGGTATCAATATAATGCCTCGGCCGCAAGCGACCTCGGCTTAGTTGACGCATACACTCTGGAGAAGTGGATGATTTCGTATCGTTGTGGTATCAATATAATGCCTCAGCCGCAAGCGACCTCGGCTTAAGTAAGTCGTATCTCCTTGTAAACTGTATAGATTTGTATCAATGTAATGCCTCGGCCGCAAGCGACCTCGGCTTAAGTGACTCATACGCTTTGGAGAAGTGGATGATTTCGTATCGTTGTGGTATCAATATAATGCCTCAGCCGCAAGCGACCTCGGCTTAAGTAAGTCGTACCTCCTTGTAAACTGTATAGATTTGTATCAGTGTAATGCCTCGGCCGCAAGCGACCTCGGCTTAAGTGACTCATACGCTTTGGAAAAGTGGATGATTTCGTATCGTTGTGGTACCAATAAATGCCTCAGCCGCAAGCGACCTCGGCTTAGGTGATTCATACGTTCTGAAAAACTGTTTGATTTAGTATCAATGTAATGCCTCGGCCGCAAGCGACCTCGGTTTAATTAACTCATACCTTTTTAAAAACTGTGCTATTTCGTATCGATGTGGTATCAATATAATGCCTCGGCCGCAAGCGACCTCGGCTTAAGTACTCTTAAAAACTGTGTATACAACTTTCAAGTTCAGTAATAATATTTTTTTTGTTTAACACATCTTATTGATCGCTGTATTAAGATTTAATAGATATTTTTGAGTCGCTACTTAAAAAAAATTTTACAAACGCTTTTATCCCCTCTCGGATAATAATTTAACACTGCATAAGCTTGATTCAATCGCTAAACGCATTTCGCAAGAAAGCAGCGACGGTGGCACAATAGGGAGAGTGTTTACCTCGCGTCGTCGTCCTCGGCCGTTGCCCCATAGCAAAATAAACCTCCCCTACAATTGCGTTAACAAATAGACTTTACAATGGCGAAGGGGAGGACAGCCCCTAAGTTGCCGAGAGAGTTGGGGGGGTTACCCGAGTGCCACTTTTAACTAATTAGTCCGCTTAATGAGTTGTCAAAATATTTGCGCTTTCACGCTACCGAAAGCAAAGCTTTATGTACTACAACTTCAACTGAAAAGAATATCTCTTTATTTTGACGGGAAATATAAAGCTTAAATAAAATAGAGAATTTTGAACAAAGAATGGTTATATATTTTTTTGTGCCGCTCCTAATTCCACGTAGACCAAGTTCTACAACGTGACGTCCGATGGCGATAAGATCGAAACAATGGATTATCCCATACAATATGCATGAGGCATTAGGAGTCCTAATGTATTCGCCGCGGCCATGTTTTTCGATATGGTAAATGACGTGGTAATGTTGAAAAATCGAGGTGAATAAAGCGTCGGTTTTCAGGTGTGTCGACGCTAAATCGATCGCGCGACATTTGACGGACGTCGTATTATCGATGGTGGGAGGTGAAGTCCTGCGGGATTTTCCCCCTCTTTTTGTCGCCTCGACTTTTATGGACGATATCAATAAAGAAATAAGGACGTATTGGTCAATATTTTCCGATTGATTCAAAGCAGTATCAAAATCTCACAAAAATATTATTGAAACCAAACGGTTTTTAAGTCTTTTCAGATTTTTAATGATGTTATTATGACGTAAAAAATTATTTAATTGACGGTCTGTTGAAAAGTTGCGGGGAACCCAACACATCGCGCAGGTGATGTGATGGAGTGCATGGAGTGACAAAGCAATCGGCCCGAGACGGCGCCACCTTCCTTCTTGGGCAGTCTTGCCAACATATGGGACCTATCTCAGGTCTGGCAACTCTACTACCAGGGCCCCATTCTCGAATTACTCGCCAAACAGCAACGGGACCGCTTTAGAAAACCAACAAACGTTCGATCGTGGGATAAGCAAAGTGTTTTTAAATATAGAATCTTCAACGCCGTTTTTATAGAGTATAGTTATTTTAGTGTAGGGGATGAATGTAGGAACATTTGAAAAGTTATGTTTATCTTTTTGTTATAACAACGAGTATTCAATAAACCCAATAATAATAGTAATGAAGAAGTGGATGAAGAATTTCGCTATAATGGACACTATTGAGTTAATTTTACGGGTCGGGCGATGGAACCGAAAGCCTCAAGCAACCTCGGC